GTTCTGATAACCCCAGACTTTGACAAGCCCTTTATGGTGTTCACCGATACCATAGACACAGGGCTGGGTGCGATGTTAATGCAGGCTGATGAAAAGGGGGAGAGATCCATCGTGTACTTGAGCAAGAAGTTGTTACCTTGGGAGCAAAACTATGTGGCCATAGAGAAAGAATGTTTGGCTATGATATGGACCCTTAAGAAACTAGAGCCATATCTATTTGGGCAACACTTCACTGTGTACACTAACCATTCCCCCCTGACCTGGCTACACCAGATGAAAGGAGACAATGCCAAGCTCCTGAGGTGGAGCCTGCTCCTGCAGGATTATGATATGGAGGTGGTCAGTGAGAAGGGGAGTGCCAGCATGACAGCTGATGCATTGTCCAGGAGAGGGGGTCCTGAACTTCCCCAGGTCACTGGTTATAGTGACCCTGCTCAGTTCAGTCTTGAAGGTGGGAGAGATGTGACGGAGTAGGGAGTGGGGAGTATTGACCTGGTCATGTTGCATGGGAGTTTTATTGGTTTACTGTCTGATTTGGTGCTAGATGGTGCTGGGATATCAGGGTGTGACTTCACTTGAGGGATAATACATAAGCACGTAACCTGAGCGCAGGAGGGGGTTGGGGCCTGGTGACACCTTCTGCCAGGGAAACTGGACAAAGGCTGGAGGAGGAGCCGGGAGGTGTGGCTGAGGGGGAGACTGCTGGAGGGGGCTTCAGTTTGGAGCTGGCTAGGGAAACAGAGGGAGGCCCAGCATCGGGGTCTGGGCTCCCTACCCCCCAAGATGGACCTGACTGAGGGATCCTGTTTTCTGTACCTACAAGCTCTGTTTTGGACTGTGTTCCTGTCATCTAATAAACCTTCTGTTTTACTGGCTGGCTGAGAGTCACAGTGAATTGCAGAAAGTGGGGGGTGCAGGGCCCTGACTCCCCCACACTCCGTGACACCATCATTGGAGATTTGTAAGAGCAGGCTAGACAATCACCTGTCAGGAATGGTCTAGAGTAGACAATACTTAGTCCTGCCATGAGTGCAGGGGACTGGACTAGATGACCTCTTGAGGTCCCTTCCACTTCTATGATTCTATGTTGTCTTCCAGGTCATTGACCAGGTCTCCCAGGTCTATGGGGAGAGGGGACTATAGAGTTTGGATGGCTTCCACCTCAGAGAAGGGGGACTGTCATAAATATAAAGGGAAGGGTAAACCCCTTTAAAATCCCTCCTGGCCAGAGGAAAAATCCTCTCACCTGTAAAGGGTTAAGAAGCTAAAGGTAACCTCTCTGGCACCTGACCAAAATGACCAGTAAGGAGACAAGATACTTTCAAAAGCTAGGAGGAGGGAGAAAAACAAAGGGTCTATGTCTGTCTGTATGATGTTTTTGCCGGGGACAGAACAGGAATGGAGTCTTAGAACTTAGTAAGTAATCTAGCTAGAGATGCGTTAGATTCTGATTTGTTTAAATGGCTGAGAAAATAAGCTGTGCTGGAGGGAATGGATATTCCTGTTTTTGTGTCTTTTTGTAACTTAAGGTTTTGCCTAGAGGGATTCTCTATGTTTTGAATCTAATTACCCTGTAAGAGATCTACTATCCTGATTTTACAGGGGTGATTCCTTTACTTCTATTAAAAGTCTTCTTGTAAGAAAACTAAATGCTTTTTCATTGTTCTAAGATCCAAGAGTTTGGGACTGTGGTCACCTATGGAAATTGGTGAGGATTTTTACCAAACCTTCCTCAGGATGTGGGGCGCAAGGATTGGGAGGATTTCGGGGGGAAAGACGTGTCCAAACCACGTTTCCCAGTAAACCCAGATAAAGTTTGGTGGTGGCAGTGGAAATCCAAGGGTAAAATAATTTTGTACCTTGGGGAAGTTTTAACCTAAACTGGTAAGAGTAAGCTTAGGAGGTTTTCATGCAGGTCCCCACATCTGTACCCTAGAATTCAGAGTGGGGAAGGAACCTTGACAGGGACCAATCTCCCTGGGGACAGGCTGGCTAAACGAGTCAAGAGGGGGTTAAATTAAATAGCCAAAGGGGAGGGTAAAAAGAGGGAAGAAATGAGCTCCGAGCACAAAATCAAGAAAAAAATTAATCAAGGAACCCAAGGACTTGAAGAGAAAAAATTCTTAACTTGTCTCTACACCTGTTGAACAAACATGAGGAATTGGAACTGCTCATCTATGAGCATTAGGTTGGGCTAGTTGGTATGACTGGAACCTGGTGGGATGATTCCCATGACTGGATGGTCAAAATCAATGGTTATAACCTATTCAGGAAGGATCATGTGGACAAAAGGATGGTGGGAGGGGCACTCTATGTTAAAAATGGCACCACCTGTTTCCAAGTCATAGATACCATGGTGGAAAATGACCCTTAATGCTTACGGATCAATGTCCTAGAAGATAAAGCACAAGAGGGCATATTAGTTGGTGTCTGCTACAGAGAACCACATCACACCATGGGAGAGGATGAATAGCTGCTTCTGCATTTGTCTATAACGAGTATTTAAAAAGCTGTGTCACCCTAGGTGACTTCAATAGAAGTATCCACAGAAACAACCAGGAGTCCGGTGGCATCTTAAAGACAAACAGATTCATTTGAGCACAAACTTTCGTGGGTAAAAACCCACTTCTTCAGATGCCACCAGACTCTTTGTTCAATCGGAGTGCATTTTCTGGAGAGCTCATACTGCCGGCACTAAAATATCCTCAGAATTAATAAGTATTATAGATGGTGATTTCCTAACTCGAAAGTTGTTGCATTCACCATGGGGGAAGTCTGTGTTGGGCCTTGACTTGACAGATAAAGAGGAACTGATCGCAGAACTAGAAATTAGTGATACCTGAGGTACGGATGATCACAGCTTGATCACATTTATAACGTGCAATCAGAGCAAAGTCCAGAGAAGTGACATGAGTGTGCCATGCTTTTAGAGGGCCATTTTGACAAAGCTGAAAACAATTCTGAGCCGAATCAGCTGCAAGCGTTTAACCAGAAAAATGTGTCTACTAATTGGGAATTTACTGCTGGGGGAATTCTGCGCATCTGTGGATAGGCAGAATTCATGCGTCCCACGGAATTTTTTCCCCCGCAGAAAATACATTTCTGCCCAAGAAGTGCTGCAGTTCCACCTTTCACCCACCAGAGGCCGCTTTGGTGCCAGAACAGCCCGCGGCATGAATGCAGGCGGCGGGTCTGTTACCACAGCAGCCTCTGGTGGTCAAAGGGTGGAACTGCAGCACTTCGGGGGCAGCGTGCGTTCGGTGAGGGGAAACAGGTCTGCATTACTATGCCTAGTAAGGAATCTATTTGTCCAAAACAATATTCCCTGACTCTTTTCTTTTTTGGTCTGTATTGTTAGAGACCTACTGGCCGACCAATATTCTGAATGACCAGAATAATTGAAACTGGCGTGATTACATTGTTTTATTTTGACAAATAAAATATGCAAAATTTTGCAGAATTTTAATTTTTTTAGCACATAATTTGTTTCCCCTGGCACAGAATTCCCCTCGGAGCAGGAATGGTTGCAGAAGACTTTACTCGATGCCCAAGAAACCGCAATCAAGAAAAGAGCCTGTGTTGGTTAAAAAATCGACCTGTGACTTCCTTTTATTTTCGTCATTCAGCTTGCAAGGCAGGAACTCTGCAGCATTTCACAGAGTCTGAGCACTCATTACATTCTTGCAAGACTCATCCCTCTTTTGAGTGAAATGAACAGACGGGTGAACCCTCTGGTCTCCAGCTATGAGCTAGTCAGTTAGCAGTGCGGGCCGAGGGATGTGCTGGCTGCCGCTTCCTGTAGCCCCCATTGGCCTGGAATGGTGAACCGCAGCCAGTGGGAGCTGCGATCGGCCGAACCTGGGGACGCTCCAGGTAGACAAACTGTCCCGGCCTGCCAGCTGCTTTTCCTGATGAGCCGCGAGACAAAGGTTGCCAGTCGCTGGTGTAGTCCAGGGAGGACTGACACTTCATTCTCGTATGAACAGACTGTCCCCAAACCAGGAGATTTGCTGGGCAGTCACTCCACGCCCACTAGCCATAGGTGTTAAGATAGGGACGCTAGCCCTGAACTGGTACCGAAATGTGTGGCTTGTGGGGAGTATGAGACTTGACAAGTTACAAGCTTTCAGTAGAGCCCTCACATGCCACTCTTCAGGGCTAAATACCAGGGAAGGGGTGTCTGAGGTGTAGTGAGTTTGTCAGGTCTGAGACTGGAGTGGTTTGTGAAGGACAGTGAACACTTTGCTGATTGGCACCAACAGGTCACAGGAGGATGGGAGCCAGGACTCCTGGGTTCTGTCCTTGCCTCTGCTGTGTCATCTCCCCTCTGGTGCTGCACAGTCATAGCTCCCAGCTGTACGGCGTCACAGAGGCTGCCGCATCCCTTTTGCATGGTCACAGACCCACCGTGGGGCTTCTCAGAAACCCTCCCGCTGCAGTCGCCATGATTGGGGCCCATGGCTGCTCTGCCCAGCCCCACCCTGCTCATGCTGGGCCACCATGAGAAAGATCACAAGGCCACGATCCCACCCACCACTGAGATCAGTCGCTGTCACCCACTGCCCCCCACCACAGAGACCTGGGCAGGGTGCTGAGCATGGATGGGGCCAGGTGATTAAGAGCCCCAGATGTGCCCAGCTATGAGCCAGCACCCAGAGTAGCCCTGGATCCTGCTAGACACGTCCCCACCAAGGTCTTCTCCATCCAGTGGTACATCATCCATCCAGCTGTGCGGGGACCCAGCTGGGTAGCATCCAGGCAGCTGTGCAGGATCCCCTGCTGACGCACAGCTTGTACTTCCCCCCAGCCCATGTGGTTGGCTGTGTTTGGAAACTGAGAGGCCTGAGCCCTGCATTTAGATGAGTGTGTGGGTGACACTGAGGTTTCCTGCCCCCTTGATCTCCCCTAAGCTGAGTCTATAAAGGCCCCTGGGCTGAGGCAAATGCACCATCCCTGTACTGACTGCAAACATGCAGATACAGATCTTTCTCCTGCTCCCCATGGCCTTTCTCCTGCCCTCTGGGACTTGGGCTGGTGAGTACGGCTGGGATCGGGGGCCCTGAGGCTTTAAGTTCAATGGCAGGGTCTTAAAGATGGGGCTCAGAGAGTGGGATCGAGGAGCCTATGTTCACCCCTTTTACCAGACTATGATACATTTTATACTACGCGTGCCTTGTGAGGTATCATCTAAAAACTCATAATTTGCTAATCATTATTGTCCTGGTAAAATATGTGTGGTGTGTAAAGTTATAAGTTTCTACTGTATGGTGTTACTACAACATGTTCCAAGTCTGGGGAGCATCCACAAACCAGTTCCCTAGAGACAAAACGCCAACCGACAACTCAGCCAGGTGTCAATGTATTCAAATGGACCATCACCTAGTTAAGTGGCCATTTTTGGGTAGGAAAGAGGACATGGGTGAAAAATTTACATCTTGTCAAAGACACACCTTGGGTTCTTGGCCGCACAGACTTTCAGTCTCCTGAACCTCAGCTGGAGATGATTTTCGAAGAAGAGAAAGAACTAGAAGAAGGGGGAGCAGACGCCCCAAATGATGTCTCCCTTTCTCTCTACCCACGTCATTCACAACACCAGAAGTACAAAGGAAGCAACATTGTACTGGGAAAGGGATCCTGATTACAAGCAATTCAGCCAGCACGATTGCAGAAACATGAGAGATCTCACGAGGCATAGTTTCTATGAAATTTATCACCGTCCTGTAAAGGGGTGAAAACAGGGGTAGAGACTGTCACAGGGGATTGTGTCATATAGTCTCACACAGCACTGATACCGATCAGTGTCACCAACAGCCCATGTAAGGAAGAGCTGGGGAAAGGTAAAAATAATCCTTTGGAACAGTGACAGCAGCAGCAAGCTGCCCTCAAGGCTAAAGACCCCGTGTCTCATTCCTCACCTCCTGAGCCAGCCAGTCCCCTGCCTTCGGGCCATATCAGAGCCCACGGCCCCTAGAGGTGAAAGGCTTCCAGCAACTCAGGTATCAAAAATTGAAAACAGGAAGCCCAGTTGTGCTGGGTTCCAGACATTGCATAGCTGTTACCATGTGGCTTTCCAAAGCATGAACTTTCCACATCACTGACAGAGGCAGGGGCCTGTCAACTAAACCCCAGCGGATCTATTCTTCCTTTTATCTCCCAAGGCTGTCCTCTGGGGTTCACACAGGCTAACTCTGGGTTTGGGGGTGATTGTCTTAAGGCCGAGACTGTCAGAGGCATCTCGGAGATGAAACCATTCATCTGAAACCAGAGGGTCCAGCTCCTAGGGAAAAGATAGGCCAATGCTATTGTTGGGGGTTGGGTTAAACCTTGAAAACCAGCCAATATGAGCTCCTGGTGCAATGCTCTAGATAAGTGGATGCTGAACACCATCTTTGGGTGTGTAAGCCAGGGAAGGTGGGGTCAGTTCTGGATACGGCCTTGGTGAGACACCACAACTGGAAACTGTGTCCAGTTCTGGTGTCCACACCTCCAGCAGGATGTTGGCAAATTGGAAAGCGCTATAAGAACAAGCCAAGATTTGGAGACCCTGAGTCGTGCAGAGAGCTCCAAGGAGAGTGATTTCCAGAGAGTATTGGATGCGAAGAGGGGACTCATCCCCCGTATGTAGGAACCTCCATGGGGTGGGGGTTTCTGAGAGCAGGGGGCTCTTCAGCCTCACTGGCTAAGGCAGGACAAGACCCAATGGCTGGGAGCTGGAGTCAGCAAAGGTCTGGCTAAGACTAATATGCAAACATTAAACATGGAACCAGGAGAACAACTGACTTGGGGCCGTGGTGGAGTGGCTGGGTGGGTTCTGGCTCTGGAGTATCCAGCGGGCCAACTTGGAAGGTCACAATTATCCCTCCTGGCCTTGAAATCTATGGGGCTGGGTATCTAGGTGCAGAGAAGCCCCAGAGCATTTCTTACACCAGTGGTAGGGCTGAGCAGTGTTAGCCACTTCCCCAGCCAGGCTGGGTGGGCACCATAGCCAAGGAGACCCCTGCCCCCAACGCAGGCATGTCTGTGACCTGAGTTTTCCTCAGTGGGCATCTCTGCCCCTGGCCCATCCCAGGTAGGGGTTTCCGGGCAACAGTGTACGTGTCCCTGTGGTTGCCAGGTCCTGCCCTCTCCTCCCTCTGCCTGGTCCATATACCCCCCAGGGCTCAGGCAGAGGCTCCGTGCCCTGCCTGGATGGCTCTGATGATGCAGCTCTTGATCCTGATCCTGTTCCCTGCAGCCTTTCTCCTGATCCCCGGGGCCTAGGCTGGTGATTGCTGGAGGGAAGGGGGTTGGGGCCTGTGCGGAGCAGGACCCTGACCCAGCAGGAGGATCTGTGAGCAGCTGTGAGGGTCTCCCCGCAATCCTGCTGGGGCCAAGGGGCTGTAGCGAACCCTGCAGCCTCTCCTGAGTGTGGATGGGGCTCTCAGAGCAGCCCAAGAGGTTGGGTGGCCTATTCCCACCCCCAGGCTCCTTTGGGACCCCACTGCCAATCCATGTCCCAGACAGGGAGCCCGGCTATGGGGCTAAGGCACAGGCCTGGAACCCAAGAAATTTGGGACCTGTTTCTAGCTCAGGCCAGGCTCCCTGTGGGGACCTTGGGCTGTTCCCTGGGTCTGGGATTTTCATGCAGTGCTGATAGGAACCGAGCACCCAAATCCCTTGGTAGGTCTAGAAATAATCTCACTGGTCCTCAGTTTCCCCATCTGTACAATGAAAAGATTATGCATGTGTCTGTCTGAACTGGACACTGTTTGGGGCAGGGATTGGGGGTCTGTGCAAAGCCCGGCACAAGGGGGTCTTGATCTTGGCTGGGATCTGCACAGCACCTGGTATAATGGGGGCCTGGATCTCAGCCTAGGTGCCACCCTAATGTAACTAACAGCAGTGTGTTAAAGGTGGGATATTCCAAACAACCCACCCACCTGGGTGGAGACTTCTTCAGAGCTGATCACAAAACGTTTTTTATTTTTCCATGGGAAAAACCATCAAAAGTGTTTCTTTTACAATGACCAAAACCTGAAAGTTCTCACCTAAATATTACCCACAGCTGGAGAGAAAGAATCAGTTGCACCATAATAATTCAGACAGGTTTGAGACGAGGCTTTCTGAGAACAAATACTATTAGTAAAATCTACAGTTTTCCATTGGACCAAACGTCTGGCAGGTCAGTCTTGGACCAGCCCTGGTTGGTCACTGTGGACTAATGGAGAAGGAGAAGCATCCACAGGAGACCTTTCAGTTTCCTTCTGGGGGCTGTCTGGCCTCATCTGGGGTGACCTTGATCGCTAATGCCATTACCTCAAGGCAGTGCGATTACTGACCAACTCCCAGTGTGTTTGGTACCGATTCCCCACCCAGCGAGAGATAAACTTCAGATTTACCTTCCGGCCCCATGGGGTGTCTGTGAGGGAGAGCGGAGCAGGGGGCAGGGTTCCAGGCACAGGGATCCCCCAAGGAGAGCATCGGGGGGGGGGTTGAGGTTGTGGGGACTCCCCTTCGGGATGGGGAAGTTGATCCCAGCCCGGCACAGGGAGATGATGGGTTTTTTATATGAACCTGGTCTCCCCACAGGTGAGATCATCGGGGGCTGGGAAGCCAAGCCCCACTCCAGACGCTACATGGCCTATCTGGAAATACAAGATGGGCAGGTTAAAAAAATATGTGGCGGATTCCTGGTGAAGACAAACTTCGTGCTGACGGCCGCTCACTGCCAGGGAGAGTAAGCGCCTCTGTGCTGGGGATGTCGGGGCAGGTCGGGGTTAGCGGGTGATGGGGGAGCCGGGAGCTCTGGCGCTGTCGTAGGTTGCAGGGAAGGAGCAGTTAGTGTGACAGGCTGGGAGAGCAGAGCCCAGGGGTCTGATCTGCTCAGGGGCCGTTGCAGTGTCTCTAGGGGCCTCTGCAAACCATGGCCAGATCCCGCCCTGGGTAAATCAAGCTGGGGCCTGGCCCGGTGCCCAGATTGGGGCAGGGAGGGGCTCACAGCCCCAGGACAGCTCTGCAGGGCTCCGGGATGGGGGGAGCTGGGCATAGACCCCCCTGTCTGGATCTAGCCGGGGTGGGGTCACTGGCCTGGACAGGAGCTGAGAGCGAGGTGCTGCGAGGACAACGAGGAGTGAAGCAGCTCAGGGGAACCGCACGAGGGGCTGGTGCAGACACAGGCTAGGACCCCATTGCCGCTGGGCAGGTGTTTGTGCTGCAACTGGAACCCTCTAGAGGGGAAAGGCCCCTTGTGCCATTTCCTAGCCTTCTGCGCCAGCCAGTCCCCAGCCCGGGGCCAGATCGCAGGGGGCAATGTATACAGTGGTGTGTATATATATACACTTTGCATGCTGGCAGATGAGTCCAAGATCTTGGCCTGAGAGCCCCAGGCTGCCCTGTCCCCTCCATATCACTGTTCATGAGTGAGACCCACATGTGCCCATCCCCCACCTCATGTACACTCCTGCCCCTAACACCCCATGTATTGCTCTTGACTTCTACAGCAAGATCACTGTCAAGTTGGGAGCCCATAACATTAGTGAACAGGAACGGAGCCAACAGAAAATCCCTGTGCACCACCAGATCCCCCACCAGCAATATGACAAGAAGACCCTTAACAATGACATCATGCTCCTGCAGGTATCATCCACTTCCCATCACCCCGCCCCCAGTGACTTGACACTACTGGAGGTACTAACCCCCACCCCATCACCCCGCCCCCAGTGACTTCACGCGAACGCACTGGACACATCTCCATTTTCCTCTGTTGGGACGTGTTGGTCCCTTTCAGCTCCACCCCCTGGGCTGATCTGGTTCCCTGTTTTCCCTCACTTCCATGGCAGCTGTCATACAACGCAAAGCTGAATAACTGGGTGCGTCTCATCCCCCTGCCAAACGCCAAGTCCAGGGTGAGGCCGCGATCCATGTGCAGCATGGCCGGGTGGGGTTGGACTGGCAGGAACTCAAGAACTGATACCCTCCGTGAGGTGGACCTGGAGGTCATGAGGGACAACATGTGTGAGCTGTATCCTGGATACAACTCCACAATGATGCTGTGTGTGGGGAAGCCCGGCCTGGGGAAATTACCTTATTGGGTAAGTATCCTGCTGACCTGGAGGCTCCTTGGTTCCAGGAGGTCACTGCTGGGAGGGAATGGGGAGGTGTTTTCCAGGGCTAAATATCTAATTGCACAGTGATCCCCTACTAACCTAGCCCCACTCAGGAGATGGAGTGTTGATGCAGACATCAGGTTGGCCCAGAGGGTGAAGCGATAGTGAGACCAGCTCAGCACAGCTCCTACTAGCTTGGCAAAGATCTTTTATTACACACGGCTATTGATGTTCTTTCATTTCAAACCCCGGCCACTACAACCCAATTCAACTCTACCTCAAACTCAACCCCCCTCCCCAACAAAATCCTTCCCAACTGTTCTACAAACTGAACCCCCAACACAACACTACCCCAAATTCAATCCCTTTCCGAAACAACCCTACCCCAAACTCAAACCCCACCCTATGCAACACTATCTCAAACTGAACCCCCTCAACACAAACCTACCAACTCCACCCCAAACTCAACTGCCTCTAACACAACCCTTCCAACCCTACCCCAAATTCAAACCCCACCCAACACAGCCCAACCCAACACTATCCAAAGCTCAAACACCCAGCACAACTGTACCCAACCCTTCCTCAAACTCCACCCAACACAATCCTACCCAACTCTAACAAACTTAACCTGTCCTGCACAACTGTCCCCAACTCCAACTCTTCCCAATACTACCCAATCTCTACTAAATTTAACCACTGTCCTATCCAGCTCTATCCTGTTCTACTAAACTCTACCCAAACTCATCCCTACCCACATCCACCCAATTCAAACCCTACCCAATTCTACCCAACCCAAATTCAACTCTACCAAACTCTGCCTAACCCTACTAGTGCCAAATATTGAAACCTCCCCTACTCTGGTGCAATCAGATCTGCAGATGAACAGTCATGCTACAGATATGCAAGATGTAATTGTGGTTATTCTTAATCCCAGGGTGATTCTGGTGGCCCCTTGGTATGTGAGGGAGTGGCCCAGGGCATCGCTTCATACGTTGACAAGCATTTGTGCGAGCCAAGCGCGTTTACAAGACTCTCCATCTTCATTCCCTGGATCCAGAACATTCTGCAGAAACAGCATTAAAGGAGACACCTGTTTTCCTGGCTCTTTGCATGGCTAGACCAGCCATGGGCTAATTAGGCTTTGCATGTGAAATGCAGATTATCTTCATTAGTTTTAGAAAAATGCTATGAATTGATTGGTCTCAAAATGGATTGGGGGTGGGGGAAGGAGTTCATAGATGTTGGGATAAAACCCCTGTGTGTCTCTATGAGTTTTTGAAATATCCTATGGGACTCTAGAGCAGGGATCAGATTCCCTCTATTAAACCCTATAGGATGGTGCCAGAAAAACCATATAGAAAGGCTGGTATTGGAGCCAGCACCCCATAGAGGGAAAAGGTGATATCCTCTTGCATCAATTTCTCTTAGAGAGAGAGACAAGCTTTGAGCTTACACAGAGCTCTTCTTTACATCCGAAAAGGTTCTCTATGTGTCACAGCTCAATGCAAGGTGGAAACAGATTGTTTAACATAAGAAGTTAACACATATTTCAAGGGACCATTCAAGCTGAAGTAGCCTGTTAACACCTCTCCAGTCATAGGGGGAGAAAGAGGGTGGGAAAGGTGTGGGGAAGGAGGCTTGGTGGGCTACAGATTGTTGTAATAAGCTATAAATCCAGTGTATCTATTCACTTCATGTTTTTTGAGTGTCTAGCAAAGTTATGAATTTAAGCTCCCAGGCTCACTTTTTGCAAGTGTTGTGCAGGTTTCCTTTGAGGATGAGGACTGAGAGGTCAGCTATGGAGTGATCATTTTGTGAAAAGTGTTCAACCCCAGGTGATAAGATGTTTTTGTCTTTCATAATTTTTCTGTGAGAGTTCATTCAAGGGTGGTTGTCTCATTTCACCCATCTAGTTGTTATTGGGGCATTTAGTGCACTGGATAAGGTATGCCACATGTTTTGATGGGTATGCGTAGGACCCATGGATCTAGAAAGATGCGTTGTGGGGAGGGGGTGTTTGTCATCATAACAGTGGAGATAGGTCTGCAAGTTTTGCATCTTTTGTTCTGGCAGGGTCTGATACTACTTTGAGTTGGTGGGTCCTGGTCTGGGCAAAGCTTGCTTCTGATGAAGAGCAAGGAGAGAAATATGTACTAAATACTTATGCTAAACAATCTGTTCAACCTTGTACTTAGCTAGGACACCCTGAGAACCTTTCCCAGACCTGAAGAGCTCTGTGTAAGCTCAAAAGCTCGTCTCTCTCACCAACAAAAGTTGGTCCAATAAAAGATATCACCTCACAGATCTTGTTGCCTTTTGATCAGATTACAACTTTGACTGATAAAGGTTATAATTCTGGAAGTCATCAGACTTGGTACTGCACATGTTGATTAGAAAACTAGAACTACGTAAAATTACCATGGCCCACATAATATAGGTTAAAAGCTGGCTAAATGATAGATCTCAAAATGTAATTGTAAATGTGGAATCATCACCAAATGGATGTGTTTCTTGTGGGCTCAGGGATCCGTTCTTGTCCTATGCAATTTACCATTTTTATCAAGGCCCTGGAAGAAAACTTAAAATCAGTACTGATAATGTTTGCCGATGACTCAAAAATTGGGGGAGTGATAAATAATGCAGAGGACAGGTCACCAATACAGAGTGATCTGGATTGTTTGGTAAGCTGGGAGCAAGCAAACAATATGCATTTTAATATAGCTAAATGTCAATGTATCCATCGAGGAACAAAGAATATTGGCCAGATTTACAGACTGTCTCCTGGGAAGTAAGGACTCCGCAAAAGATTTGGGGGCCAAGATGAACATGAGCTCCCAGTGCGATACTGTGGCCAAGAGAGCTAGTGTGATCTTGGGATGCATCAACAGGGGAATCTCGAGTCGTAGCACAGAGGTTATTTTACCTTAGGATTTGGTCCTGGTGCGACTGTCACTGGAACCCTGTGCGCAGATCAGGGGCCCACAATTCAAGAAAGGTGCTGATAAATTGGAGAGGGATCAGAAAAGAGCCATGAGAATGATTAAAGGATAAGAAAACCTGCCTTCGAGTGATAGACTCAAGAAGCTCCATCTATTTAGCTTAACAAAGAAAAGGTTAAGGGGTGACGTGATTGCAGTCTATAAGTACCTACATGAGGAACAAATATTTAATAATGGCTTCTTCAGTCCAGCAGAAAAAGGTCGAACACTTATAGGAAATGTTGTATCTTGCCGTATTACTTTTCCATCAGATGTCTGGGTAGTTAAAGTCCCCTCCCCTCCATCTGCCCTCTTTACTTGTTAATTTCACATGGTGGTTTGTGGCCTCTGGAATCAGCACAGAGTTTTATGAAATCCCATCCCTGTGAGTGTTTCCTTCCCTCCTGGATCTCTGTCATCCAGGCGAGGGGAGCCCCAGCCACTCAGAGGTTGAACCTGGCAGTCTGAACTGTCTGTCAAACCAGGGCAGAAGGAACAACAAATTACTAGGATCCAGCTACTCTATTTGCATCTGCCTGTGCTGTCACATTGGGGAATGTGAGACGGGGCTTTTCCCATCTGGGTACTGGCTGGCTCAGGGGTCAGGGAATGGGATACAAAAGCTCAGTTAATGCTGCAGCATCTGAGCTGAGCCCTGGAATCTGGTCTGGGTTCCCAAGTTCAGAGCAAACACTTTCAATGTTATAAAGCAAATCTTACATGTTTCCCATAGCCTGGAACATAGGCGCCGACTTCCCCTCTAGCCGGGGATGCTCAACACCCCCCCCCCTTCTGCCCCAGGTCCCGCCCCACTCCACCCCTTACCCTAAGCCCCTGCCCCACCTCTTCCCACCCCTGCTCTGCCCCCACCCTGCCTCTTTCCAGCACTTCCTTCCCGCATGTTGCGAAACAGATGTTTGCAGCAGGTGCTGGGAGGGAGGGGGAGAAGTTGATCAGCAGGGCTGGCGGTGGGCGAGAGGTGCTGGGGGGAGGGAGGAGAGGGAGGAGCTTGGCTGCTGATGGGTGCTAGGGTGCCTGGATGTCCTGATTTTATAGAGACAGTCCCAATATTTGGGGCTTTGTCTTATATAGGTGCCTATTACCCGCCCCCGAACGTTTCACATTTGCTGTCTGGTCACCAATACCAGCCTCCAATACCAGGAAAAAGACGACCTTGCCGTACATTTTAGAGGCCGCCATGATGGCAGTGGGCCCCACCACCCTAGCCAACGCTCACAGGTAGGTCTCCCCATGGGGAGAGGTGGGCACCAGGAGGCAACAGACGCCGTGTTTCCTGGTCAAGGTGGGGAAGGGGTCCTGGCCACTATAGATGGTAGCAGAGATGGTGGCTGGGAGAGATGACTTAGCAGCAGGCGGGGGGTATGCCCTGCAGGTGAGGGAGGGGCACTCGCAGAGCTGGTGGAGGGAACAGCAGGGAGGGATGCTGTGGCCAGTGGCGGGGCCGTGGCAGTGGGGGCAGCCCCTGCCATGGAGGGCTTGGTCTTTTTAGTGGGGCCCTTCCCCTTCTTCTTACCTTAGCCCTTCCCGCCGGCTGCAGGGGCTTCCCCAGAGTCGGAGGGGTGAGGGACGTGGCAGCAGCGGAGGTCACCCCGGCGTCCACCACCGCCGGTGCCCCAGCGGGGGTATTAGCAGGTGGTTTGGCCATGGCTGTGGAGGTAGAGGCTCAGGGGGGTGACAGGGCAGCAGGCAGGGGAGGGGCGGCGGGGTCTGCCGAAGGGGCCCCACTCACCTTGTCCCCCACCATAATGAGCAGGGTGGGAGGGGAAATCACCAGAAGGAGGAGGGGAAAGGGGAAGCAGGTCGACCACCCCTCCCCACTAGGCTACAGGCAGGGGAGGAGGGCGCCAAAAGGGGTGGGCTGGATGGGGGGGCAATCAAGGGCTAGGGGTCAGTCACTGACACTGGGTGGGATTCCAAATCCTCTAGCTGCACTAGGGGAGGGGGGAATACAACAGCATGGAGGGGTGCAGTGAAAAGGGGTTCAAACTAAAATGGAGAGGGGCACAAGCGCATGGGAGGGGGCATGGGCGCACGGAGTGAGGGGCTAATCAGAGCAGAGGAACCGCAGGGGGAGGGGGAAGAACCAGGCTGGAGGCAGGACAGGGAACCAAGGGGCTAGCTTCAGAGGCTGGGGCGGGGCAAACAAATAAAAACTGCAGAGGGAAAAGGGCAGGGCAGGCAAATAAACTGAAGCTAGAAGGGGGGGGGGGGCGGCTGGGGCAAAGGGGGGGCAAAAGGCTGCAAGGGGCAGGTAGTAAGAGGCAAAGCTGGGGGGGGTACATGTGCCCACTTGCACAAAAAAGTCAGTTTGGGCTGGCTGCTGCTTCAGGCCCAAATGGTGGAATCAGGGCGCGGCCAGCCAGGTGAGCAGCGGAGTCCCAGAGGCAGGAGCTGAGGCAGATGGTAAGTGTCCACTGGGGGTGGTGGAGGGGGCAGCGATGACAGTGGTGGGGGGGCAAAGGGGGACACACGGATGGACCAGCGGGGCAGGCTCCACGCCACACCCCCTGTGTCCCCACAGTCAAAACTCCCCACCACAAGAGCACAGTTCAAAAGCTACTCGGTCTTTGAAAGCCCCCTCCCCAGTGGTCTGCAGAGTCCCTGTGTGCTCCCCCCGCAGCAGATGGTCTTCTTCTCCTCCTCCTTCGGGTTCAGCAGCTCCTCAGCAGCAACCACAGCAGTAGCTCCAGGTGGCAGTCCGGTGGTCCAGGCAGGCAGAAAGGACCCCTCTCAGATGGCGGGGGTGATGGTGGTGTCTGCAGCAACTGGGGCTGGAGCAGGGGACCCTCACTCCCCTCCTCTGGGGAGCAGGCCAGCAGCCCCCCCAAGGGGCTGGGGGGGGGGCGGTGTCTAGCAGCCAGCCAACAACCAGGTAGCAGAGAGGGATGGGGGTGGTGCCTGGCCCAGCTAGGGGAGTAGCTAGATGAGGAGTAGCAGTAGCAAGGGCCTAGCAGCCCCAGCAGTCTCCCTCCTCCCTTCAGGCCAAAGGGCTATAGGAGAGAGTCCGAGGCAGAGTTTCTAGCTACTGGATTAGCAGTTTTCTGTTCCCTGACTGACCAGAGCAGGGGATAATGAGAACACT